CCCTCCCCAGGAAGAGGCGGGACTCTCCATGCCCGAACAGAGTTAAGCTGAAACTAGTACTGAGAATTCTGCTTGGAAGTTCTTCTGGAACAGTGCAAACCACCTATGAGCACTGTCGTTCAGCTGGCAGGAAGAGCCAGGCACAATACCAGCCCAGTTAGCCCTACAGGGTGTCCCAGTTAGACACTCCATGTCCTGTCTACAGGGCAATCCAGCAAAGACCGCATTACAAAGTGGAGTAAACAGAAGGAAGAGACTAAAGTCCCTGGAGGCCTAGGGAAGTCCAGATGTAGACTTTGGTGAAAGGAACATGCTCTATCAGAGATATACAGGGTTCCTCTGGGACAAGAAAGAGGTGGTTAGGCTGCAGAAGGAACATCACAAGGCTGCCAGGTCTGTACTGGGGCTTGCAAAAGGGACTTAGACCTACCTCAGATGCAGAAGACATTGTAATCAGCCAGGGCCTGCTCCTCTGCAACAGGACAGGAGAGACCTAAGTTATCCTCACACAGAGCCAAGCGCAAACACCCAGAGAGTCCCGGCACCCCAGGGTTCCACACTCACCTGGGTGGTAGTAGTCATAGACCTTGACATGGCCTGGCTTCAGGTTGGTCACCCCAACCTCCCGCTCCAGGTGCAGAACACAGGTCTCAGATTTATGGCTCAGCTGGGGAAGAAGAACAAATGACAGTTCACTTACGAGCTGTTCTTTTTATTCCTCACCTAAATTTGATCCTACTGACAGACAACAGTGGCTCCGTTGAGTCAAAGGCAGGACTTCAGATGAATCTTGAATATCCTGCTGTGCTAGCCCAGTCCTTGAATCCCCACACAACTCTTGGCACTGTCCTCCACTCCTGCAGCACCTCTTAGCACAACACACACATACCTTGTCCAAGTAGAGGGCAACACCTCCTTGTGTTTTCTCAGTTCTTCTCACAGGGTGCCAATGCTGCAGCTAGGACAGGACAGCAGAGGAAGCAACTTAGTTGGGTCTTTTGAAAATCAAGTGTGAGACATCCCAAAAAGGTTTA